TAGTTGACTATTCTTCTTCAGGAGAACTATGTGTTTCGACAGACCTACTGTTGGATGTAACATTAAAAACCTAATTATATGATTCCAAATGCCTTCACCTTAGTGTTAAGCCTAGAGATTCATGAAATAATGACCATTAACTAAAAACAAAGAAACTGTGTAAAGAGCAGATCCTTCAAAAGAAGGTAACAACTGCTAAAAACGAGCCAGTGTGAAACAGCAAAGTAAATAATCTTCAAACATAGCAACATAAGTCAAAGATATGTAGAAACGACACCATGAAAAAGTGAACATCTTAAGGATAAACTTTCCAAACAAAAATAAACCTTCAGATGTGATGATCCTCATGACTTTTAAGAATTAATCCTTTCAATGATACCTGATACCTTAATAGTTAGTCCTTCACACTTGATATCTGAAACATATTCTTAAGATCTTAAGGGTTAAATCTTGAAATGTAATGTGTAAGATATATTTTCATGGTCTTAAGTATGAAACGTATATGAAGTACAACACACACACACACACACACATTGAAAGTTAAGACAAATTCTTAAAGTATAAACCATACTTTCAGGACACACCAAGTATGTACAAAGGACCATAAAGGATTCTTTAGAGATGACATATAAAACATATCTTCAGAAACTTCAGGACATACCAAGTATATCTACAGGCCATAAAGGATTCTTTAAAGATGACACATAAAACATATCTTCAGGGCCTTTAGGAAACTCCAAGTATATTTAAAGGACCATAAAGAATTCTTTAGAGATGACACTTTCATGAACTTCTGAAATCCCCAAGTATATCTAAAGGGCCATAAAGGATTCCTTACATATGACACATAAAACATACCTTCTGGATGTTGCTTTAATCGTCGAGTTGGGTTTCTAATGGAGTGTCGCTGGTAGTGTGGCTGGAGTGAAGAGAAAACACGTTTACTGCTGTGGAACTGCTGGGAGAAGAATTCCTCCAGCTTAGTGTACATTTTAACAATGTCAGTAGTGGTTGACTTGGAGATCAGTAGCTGTAACTGATCCCAGCCTAAGTTCCCATGGATGAAAATTAAAGCAGGACTGAAAATAGTAAAAAGAATTAATGTTTGCACAATTATAATATACAACATATAATGAAAGGTTTTGAATGGTGATCTGTTTCAAAAATGATGTTTTTTTTAAAGTACATGTAAATGAAACCTTACCGTTTTGTTGGTTTAGCCATTAGAGCATCATCTCCCTTCTCGGAAGTAACTCTCCATTCATCTCTGAGTGTAGTTTCTAGTGTGCTAACTCTTCCCATCAAGACACTGGTGCCCATATAGTCCAATCTCGACTCTAATGCTCCAAGCTTCAGGGTAACTGTATGATCTGGTTCTTTCTTTACATCTTCTTTCAGGTGTACTAACATCAAATTGTTTGAAAGTGTTTAATACCCTTGATATTTGTTATATAAACATCATGAATACATCACATATCAATCTTTATAAACTTTTGCAGTAGTGTTGCTTATAAGATCTTCATAATTAGCTACAAGACGTCGATACTTTTTTTATTTTGAAACAGGTAAAGTAACAATGTTAAAAGAAAAGTTGCATTGAGATCGTAAGTATTTCAGTAGATATTAGATAAAAACTAAACCTCTGTCTAATAACATCATTATATAGTGCAGAGTCAGAAAATAACTGTCAGATTGGTAAAAAAATACTGAAAATACAAATAATTTCAATTTTTTTTAGAGCAAAGCCATACTGGGCTATCTGCTGTGTCCACCATGAAGAATTGAACCCCATATTTTAGAGTTTTAAGTCTTTCAACTTACCATTATCCCACCAAGGGACTATAAAAACCAAATTTTATTAATTTCATTTTTTCTTTTTTTATTTGTAAACTTTTACTTGGTCAGAATGTTTTAATGAAATCTTGGGAAAATGCATTGTTCATTAAAGTTAAGCTAAATATGTGTTAACTGTCTTACAGTTCAAACAGGTAGGAATTTTTCAAGTTTTAGTCATAATAAATCTTTCAAAACAAAGTAGCCAAAAGTTATATATAACAAAAATTATATTACATTTACAAATACCTGCATTTATTGTTTTAAACAATAATCAAAATTAAAGCTATCAACAAAAATACCTGCTATTTTCAATTCTATGTTGTTTGTACATATTTTGCTCTCTAGTTATGCAGGTCCTGTTGAGCTTCTTGTAAAAGCAGGTATTAAAGCATTTCTTTCAATACACACGTAAACATTATAAATTACAAAAAATAACTATTGCAGCATCTTGTCAGAACTCAACTAAAGACCTAAGCAAAACAGAAAAATATATTCATTCATACAAAATGTTATACTCCAATATCACTGTCACTACAAGACAGAACTCAACGTCCATAAAAACTTACATGTTGTATCGATTTCACTAAGCTCGATGTTTCCTCCCACAATTCCTCCTTTAGCATCAAGTGAAGAACCGACGAGAGTCATTGTGATGAAGAAGTTTTTGTGTCCACTACTGCTTATTGACAGTCTTCCTTGTGATTTGAGATCTCTTGTAAGCCACCTGCAGTAATCCACAGTCCCTTATGTTATATTTTTCATTGACATTTCAAAACTTTAATAACCAAATTAAAGTTTATTTGTAGAATATGGATCATAATACCACTAGGCTAGCTCAGGATAGCTGGAACCACTGCCATTTGTGAACTGCACTGAACACAATTACTAATGCCACTAGGCTAGCTCAGGATAGCTGGAACCACTGTCATTTTTGAAATGCACTGAACACACAATTACTAATACCACTAGGCTAGCTCAGGATAGCTGGAACCACTGCCATTTGTGAACTGCACCGAACACAATTACTAATGATAACCATTAAAAAACCTGGTTCAGGATTTCTAATCCAACATGTAAATAAAGATAAACAACCCAAACAGAAAGTAACAACTACAACATCACTTCTAAGTGAACTGAGTAAAGACCAAAGAATTCATCTCTCTCTCTCAATGGACAGATTAAAAAACATTTCACAATGTTTTAGGTATTTTCAAAATTTAATAAAAACTTTGTATGTCAATAAAATTGACATCAAAATGTACTTTATAATTTAAATTTTAATATTGTATGTGTTTTAATTTCTTAATTTGAAAGAAAATATTTAAATTAAATATGCTTCTTTGTGTGTTAAATGGCATGTTTTCTTGTCTTATTACTCAGTTTCTATTTTATCACATTTAATATACAACATCTGTAGTGGTTCAAAATAGAAAGTCAAAGTTCAGACATTTATAATCTAGAATATAAAATAAGAATCTCCCACCCTTTTAATTTACCGAGATATCAATATATTTTGCAAACCTATGAGTTAGCCCCTCCCACCCACTACTCCATTCTTCTGAAACCTTTTGTCTACTCATGCCTATTTCTCTTAAGTACATCTTTATAACCAACAGAAAGAGCACATTCCAAGCTACATAAATCTGACAGTTGTTTGTAATTGGCTTGAAGGAGAAACTTGTAATTTGACTGGAAATGTTCAAGTCTGTTGAGTAAGTTGTTGGTCCGAACAGAAATGAGATTTTTTAACCCACATATAGCTTAGTTATAAAACCAGATAAATTACAGTGGTTTTATGTGTACCAATATAGTAATTTGATAATTCTTTGGTTTTCTAAAATGCATCATAGAAATCTACAAAAAAGTGTCTTTCACCTCCACTTGAGAGAATAAACAAAGCTAATGACAAGGTTTATCAAGTATGATGCACAACTACATATCAATTTTGTAACATTGTAAGTATTAGAAGTCCTTGTTTTTCTATATATATTTTATTTATTGTGTTATGTTTTAAGAAAAATAACTAAAAATTAAACATTTATGGGTAAATAGTAACATTATATATGTGTATATTCATAAGCACTTACACACTTTCTACACCTATACCTCAAAATTCCAAACCCCCCAGGAAGATAACTAACATCCAAATACCTACCAAATTTATTGGAGCAGCCTGGATTTTGTAAAGAGCCATATCATAAAAATTGTTTTGCACTTCTACTACTTTAGACAATTCTTGTTGTAACCACTGTACTATAAACAAGCTGATAAATCTTCTCCCACTGTATTTTCAGAGCCAGGATTATAATAAACTCTGGTAATTGCATTGCACAAGCTAATTTGATATTGAGAGAGTTTTATTACAGTGTCTTATAAACATCTTATGGCAGGATCTGTAATTCAATGCTTTATTTATGATAGGCTGGTTTATATTTCAGGTGCTAAAAGTAAAATAAACATAGGATACAGATGTGAAAATATTAGAACTAGAAACTATTATGGGAAGTACTTTGGAACTTCTTGGTCAATACTAAAGAGGATCACTATTACTCACTTTATTTCACATTTTATGATGATTACGAGGTTGGACAAATTGACCAAACTTGTATAGAGTTAGGGTAGAAAAAATGAGAAAAAAATTAGTTTTTCTGAAAAAAAAGCATTTGATATTTATTTAGAAGGTTTTTGGAAATTATGAAAATTAATTTGAAAATTTTCAGATGAAGTATTTTTAATTCTAACATGAAAATTACTGCACTCAGAGCAGTCAACACTCTTATACTATATGTTTATGGACAGATTCTTAGTAAAAATACTTAATTAAAAGTTCTGATTTTTTGTCCACCAAAAGCTTGAACAATTTCATGAACATGTTAAAAGTTACAATATGGGAACTCTGGGTCACGTGATCAGTATAATCCACTGAGACAGTAGCAAAAGAGTTGGAGCTTCCTGATTTAATGATCTAATATTTGGATTTTTACTGAGAACTTAAACAAAAAGAAAGCAACTTATAATAAGAGATCAAATTTATTATCAGCTTATTCATTGATATGTTAAACATCTAATTTCTGAAGGAGCTCTGGGAAGGAAGAAATCAACTTCTAATATTAAGGCAAACTTACGTTGTGTTTCCCATCACATTACCCATATTCATGTGAACGTTAAGGCGAGAAAGATTAAGGGCACATAACACCAATGTTTCCCATGTGTTTCCTTGTCTGGTGGTATACTGAGTAGGTGAGGATGGCTGCATACTTCTGAAGTCTTGAGAACATGATAGCGTACTCATGTAGATCTGAGACCCTGTTGACAATATACAAATCAAATAATGGAAAGGAATTGTCTGAGACCCTGTGGATTATATACAAATCAAATAATGGGAGAATTGTCTGAGCCCCTGTGGATTATATACAAATCAAATAA